TTTCTTTCTTTCAACTTCGTCAGGTACCTTCAGTTACTGAGTGGGAAAGAGAACTATCCCTGCATCGTCGATTCCGAAGGCGCCGTCATCTCCTTCCCCCCTATCACCAACAGCGAGAAAACAAAGGTGAGGACGCCGGGACTGAGCAGCGGGTCGGGAGGGAGTTCGGGCTTCTGCATGATTAAGATCAGTTCTTCGATCTGCAACTCGCGCAATCGAGGCCAATGTGCACGGTTTGAGGTTCGGCCTTCTGTAAATGTTTGCCGAAATAAGAAAAAGAACCAAGTAAATGCAGGCATCTCTTTTGGAGCTTTTCAGGCAAAAGAGGGTCCGGTTTGCCTCTTTTCCCTGCTAGCTGGAGCTGAGCTGAGCTGAGCTGAGCTTTTCTGCCCGTGCCCCCTCCGTGGGCTCTCCAGGGCATAAAGCTTCCTCCTCCCACCCTTCTCCTCCTCCTCTTTTTAAGCTTGGGAAAGCAACATCCGATCTGCTTCTGGAAGTGACCAGTGCCACCAGCCTGCAGCTGTGTAAAGACGTGATGGATGCCCTCGTCCTGGTACAGGCTTCTTCCCCCCCACCCTTCCCCTCCTCCCACATCAGGGATGGGAACCAGGGGCCGCAAGTTGTCAGGGACCGCAGTGGCACATCTGACGGCCCCATCGCATCCCTGGGCACCTGGGACCAAAACGTGGGCAATTGCACCTGTGACTGGGTTCGGTACAGCATATCCCGCCTCATAACCAGGTTTATATAAGCCAGGAAGGATCCCCCTCTCTGCTTCTGCTTGACCCTCCCTTCTCTTGGAGCACAGAGGCAGCCCCCATCCTAGAACCTCCTTCCTGGTCTCTCTCCTTTTAAGGGAACTAAACGGCATCCTTTATTGTTGTTTTAACTGCAGAAAATGGCAGAGCTCCAGAGGGTTACTCTGGAAACCAAAGGCAGGGAAGCTTGCTCTGATCACGAATCCGGCGAGATTCTTCAACCTGAAATCTCAGGGCCCGAGGGCCGCTCCCCAGGGGCCCCTCTGCTCTTGGAACAGGTTCGGATTGTGGACATGGAAGGGAACCTAAAAGTCCTTTATCCTTCAAAAACGGATCTCCAGACATCTCTCCTGACCATCGTGCATTAAGCGCCGTGGGTTTCCTCTTCTGGTTGCAAAATGCGTGGCCCTCTCGGTGTCGCAGAAGCTGCCATTTGCAACTTCATTTTTTAGAGACACGGGGAGATCCGCGCTCTGCTTGTTTGCTGGTAACGGGAAGCATTGAGTTGTTTTCAGTCGCATGAATTGGAGGCCCCGAGAGAGATTCAGAAGCTCCGCTTGCTCGCCCCCCCCCACTCAGGCCTGGGTTTAGCCTGGATCCCCTGCAAATGAAGGCGCTCAGGAGTGGTCGCTTTAACAGGCGGACTAACCCCTGTGCTGCGGACGTAACCCTGCTCGGTTGCATGGCTGCGTTCCTTCCTCGGGGAGGAGGCAGGCTGTTGGGCTCACCTGGTGCAGGTGAAGCAGGTGGCTGCACCCGATCGGGAGGTGGCCCCAGGGACAAATCACTGGCAGGTGGAGATGGGCGTCCCCGTGTCATCCTTTCTCTCCCCCTCCCTCTCACGCGGCTTCTCCAGGAGAATGGGGGGGCTTGGCACTGTGACTCGGGCGGGGTGTCCCCAAAGGCCTGCAACCCTGCACTCCCTCCCTCCCCAAACACTTCCAGGACAGACTGACAGTAACCATCGTTCCTCTTTCACGCATTCTTGCCCCCCCGCCGCCCCCGTGAAGCTAGCGAAGCAGCAGCGCCTGCATTCCCGGCTTGCAGAGAAACCGACCTTTCCTTCAGGGCAGCGCAAAGGGGGGGCCGTTTTTGAAATCAGAGTTCCCTACCCCCTCCCAAAACACCCCTGATGCTAAGGCATTGGGGAGCAGCAAGGCTAGGAAAACTTTACGGGAAATTAAAGCTGTCCGAATCTCCGGCTTTTAGATGCCGGAAAAAAGATTTCTTGCGGCGGGGAAAGAGCCGGGTGGATCCTCTCCACTCGGGTAAAGCCATGCCAAAGTCTCAGCTCTGAGCCGTGGGTGGGGAGGGGGAGCAAAGCGTGCCAGCCCTGCTGCTGGGACCTCCGCTTGCGTGCCTGCCCTGTCCCTGGAGTACGCCCAGGTGAGAAAGGGCAGCAAAGTCGGGGGACGCGCCTGGTAAGGAAAAGAGAAGGGCAGCGGTT